GGGTTGTATGACTCATATAGCAGTAGTTACCAGAGGTTTTATATGACTCATATTACAGTAGTTACCAGAGGGGTTGTATGACTCATATAGCAGTAGTTACCAGAGGGGTTGTATGACTAATATAACAGTAGTTACCAGAGGGGTTATATCACTCATATAACAGTAATTACCAAAAGGTGTAGTGTTCCTAAAGAGTAGCAATATTTAATGTGATTCCCTGTATTGCCGCAGGAAAGCGAGTGATAATCGATGGCTTCCCGAGGACAGTGCAAAATGCCAAGGATTTCGCGGCCGTTTGTGGCATGCCAGAGGTAATCGCTCTGTTTGAACTTAAACCTGTATAGTGCCCTCTGTGTACGCTCGCACACATGCATGATGTTTGGTGAGTCATGCCTGTATCTATCCTTCCGTACGAGCCTTGCATTCACTTGACCCTTAACTGGTCTCAGTGAGTATACGCCAAGTCTGCAAGCTATGATCCAATCCCGTATGGTTCGTCTACCTTGGCTGCGTTTACGGCTTGTCCATGTTTAGGGGCTCATGGGTTGGTTCTCAGGGCTGGGTGTTGTGGTTGCAGTTGTAGTGTGTCTGACATTCTTGAGTGCGTGTAGTGTCCAGACGGTGCTGAGCTGTCGTTGTGCAGTTGGCTTAGACAATGCCATACTTTCTCTCTCTCTTCGATGGATCGAGAGTGAGAGTGAGAGTGAGAGTGAGAGAGAGGCTCAGGGAGGGCTCTCAGCTCAGTTGGCTAGAGCAATTGGTTTCGGTCGAGTGTAGGAGGTGCGGTCGAGTGTAGGAGGTGTCCACCTCCACTCCTCGAGGGCTCTAACTACGGCAGTGCCTTGCATGCAGTAGATGTTTCAATCCCTAACTAAGGCCCATCTTACAATGTGTGTGCCAACGGTACTATCCAACTAACCCATTGCCACTAACCTATTCACTTCTTCCTTCTGGAACAGTTTGCCCTGTGGTTTGATGCCCCGGATCGTGTGCTCATTGAGCGCCTGCTCAAACGGGGTGAAACCAGCGGCAGGTATGCTAGGGATGCCTCACTGAATTGTTCATATCACACTTGGATGGTACCACACGTGCTTCTAACCGTGTACCATTGCGCAAGACCGTTTCTATGCTTGATTGTAGTATCCGTCTGTGTCCTCAACTCATAGCGTTTGAGTAGTCGTGATTGCGCGAAATGAGTACTAGACCGTCCGGTGTTAACCATGCGCTCGACATATGTGGTGTGTAGGGCGGACGACAACATAGAGACGATTAAGAAGCGGTTAGAGGTGTATCACAAAGTGTTGAACCCGCTCAAGGCTTGGCTGGAGGACAACAATGTCCCAATCTATCGGTATGTGGCACTGGCACGGGTGTGCCTGTACGCGTCTCGATGGTTTCAGGCCCATTTTAATATTTATCGATAGGTGATAATAGGGGTTGTGCATTGTGTCTTTGCTAGAAATTTTGGTCGGTGGTCAAAAGATCGATGTTCTCGAAGCTGGCGAGTATTGACCGTTTCTTATCAAACTATACAGAACATAGCACTCCTTTAACTGAGACGTACAAACGTCCATACACATACACTTCGATGGTATCCTGATGGATGATCACTTCGTATCGTTGATCCATTTTATGGTACCTCTACCCCCTCCTTTTTATTCCCATCGCTCTGTGGCCCGCGATGCCGTGAACTTGTTTTGTGGTTCAAGTCATATCAAGACCACCCGATCACGTTCAGGGCTTAGCGTACAGGTCAGGTTTCAACAACCATTGGTCAATGTCAATTCTAGGCTATCCATTAGTGTGTGCGTGTACAAGCTCAATACACGCGCATCTGCATTACACTCACAAGTGCCTACTTGTGTGTTTCCTGCAGAGTGGATGCGTCACGGCCGATTAGCGAGGTGGAGGCTGAGCTCAAAGCCATCCCGGCCCTGGGCGAGAAAAGCCCGAAGTTCAGGACAGTGTAATCCAATACCAACACCCGATGAATTATTAGTACATAATAAAATGGACCGGTCTAACTGAGAAGGCTATGGCCGAGGGCTCAGACGCCTGACTGTGCAACCGGTGGAGCAACACCCTCCCTCGCCAGTGTGCCGTATCGCGTTCACTGCACTATACGCGTTAGATACATACAGAGAGTGATGCTATGGACAGACAAGCCCGGCGTCACACCGCAATGCGTTGCAACGGATTGGTTCACGCGTGACCTAACGCTCTTTTG